CTGACTACGGAGCATGTTTTGCGCTCCCATCGTGCTGTATAAAGCCAGAAACACCAGTTGCAGGCATCGATCACCTTGAGCCCTGAGACGCAGTACAAGTAGTACTTGGAGGATGGCAATTGTAGCGTAATTTGCTATTGCCGAGACAGCCTGAGTTCGCCTTTTATTTTTTTGATCCTTTTTTATTTTCTTTTTGATCCTGAAGTTTTTATACATTTTGATTCTTTTTTATTTTGTTTTGACCCGGCAGCCCCACGCTTGAGGGGGCTCGGGTGTTGTTGGCACGGCTCACGGTTGATGATGGCGCAGCTATGAGGGGGACGTCCACGTCGTTGCTGTGGATCTCCTGACCAGAGGAGACTCCGACTCCCCTCAGCAGGCCGACTTCGCCGCGCATGCGCAGGCAGGCGAGGTCAGAGGATTGGCAGCACCTAGCGTGCCGTGTGAGTTCATAATGTGTCGGTGTGCGGCCGACTGCCTTGTGCCTTCTTCAGCCCTGTTCTGCATCAGAAAGCAGTGGATGATAGTGAGCCCCACCTCGGCTGCTGGCCAAGCGGGGTGCGAAGCGTTCGAGTTTTCCTTAGAGTGGGTTGCGCGCCATCTGCCTCAGCAGTTTGCCGTAGCCCAGATCATTGCTAGGCTTGTCTTGCACCAGGTGAGTTTCTGTGGGGTCCGGGTAGGAGAAGCCTCACACCCGGGCCCGGATCGTGCGGCCCAGAAGTGGAAGAAGACCGCTCAATCGCAGGCGGTCCAGGTGAAGCAAATCATGTCCCTCTTGCAAGCTCTTTTGGATTTCTTTCAGCGTGGACGTAACATGCCAGAGATTGGTGTGCTGCTTGCTGGCACAGCGACCAGCCTCAAGACCCTCACCCAACCCTGGCGAAGGCGAAAGGAAAGACGAAGGCCAAGGCGCGTGCGCGCTCGGCCCCACCGCGCCCTGAACCTTCACCTGCCCCTGAGCCTGCGCGCCCTCCCGCCTCGCAATCGGTAGAGGTTGTTCCCCAGGTTCCCCCGAAGGCCCCTATAAGCCCCGTCGGCCAGCCCAGCAGGCAAACCCCACAGGCCAGGCCGTCGCAGGACAGGCGCAGCAGGCCGCTGAGTATGCACTCAGGGCTTCTGATTGGCATGGCACCATGCTCCCTACGATAAGCTCGAGCAGGACCTTCACACCAAAGGTTCGGGGTCCATCTTTGAGCTTGTTGGCAGCCCTCAAGAGGCTGATGTTGCTGCCCAGCTGATAGCGGGCGTGGGGCGACATGCTGCTTGGATCCTTTTTCGTGATAAGACGGCACCACTCATGGTGCCCCTCGTCTCTAAAAAACCGTGTGCTCCCGCAGCATGTGGCATGTCAGACGGTGCCTTGCTCTGGCGTGGCTTTTCCTTCGCTTAAGTCGTCGCCGAGGCCCAGACAGGCACCGGCCTGCACAACCTGCCCCATGCGGGTCATCGTTATAGTGGCTCTCTTGCCCAGGAGAGCTTGCGGCGACTTGCCGCCACGCAGCCGAGGCGCTTTCTCCAGGAGTGGACGAGGCAGGCGCTTCCAGGGCAACTCCGTGGTGTGGTCAAGGACTCATGCAGATTTGCTGAGGGCCAGAGGACTGGGGATAAAGTCGTTACGGGGCTCATTCGGATTGACACTGATGTGATTGTGCCGCTTTTGGGGCAAGCTCGGCTTTTTCTTGGAGCCGGTCGCACGCCATCCATCCGGCGTACCCGGCGGCGGTTGTTGATTGGCGTAGGCGGGGGCAGGGTGAATCATGGGTGCAGCTTTGTCAGCGATTGCATGCGCAGCGCCCGGCATACGGCCTTGTGCTTGGGGGAAAGCAGGTCGGCGAGACGGGCCCCTGGTGCCGACCATCAGCCCAAACTTTGTGGCAGATCGTCGGGACGCCGGTGCATTGGTCCGATTCCTTTCTTCATGATCTCATTGTGTCCCAGACGCCGGCGGCTTCAGCAGAGATCTTGAGACGCCAGGTCCGAGGCAAGAGGTGCGCATGGTGGGTTCGGGCGGCTGTTTCGGGGCCGGAGGATGCACACTGCTTGGCTGCAACCGAGGGAGAGGGAGGCCTGGAGCTCAATGTTTGGATGTTGCCCAGCACTTCTAAGCCCCCTCCACGCAAGCCTGGAAAACCCATCCCACAGCAGGGCGCCTTTTCCTTGTATCGCTCGCCTTTTGAACAAGTTGACAAGCCAGGGGCTACCACCATCGCTGGCGAGCCTGATGCCGAGGACTTCGATAGTCATGATGGTGACGCTGCGAGGCCCGTGCCTGCTGCCAAACGTGTGGCATCGAATTTCACTGCCAGAGTCGTGCCTGAGGGCGTGGAGGTGCGTCAGGTACCGGGGAACGGAGCTTGTTTCTTTCATGCGGTGTCTAAGGCTTTGGCTGTGCTTCATGATCGGGAGATTTCGGCTGCGCAGGCTCGTGCCGAGACAGTCGCTCACCTTAGGAGGTATCAGGAGGCTTATTTGCCCTATTGGGATCATGTGGACGATCGCCAGCAAGGCGTACAGAACTTCGTTGACTATCTGGTTCGCATGGCGTGTGCTGATGCTTGGGCTGGGTATTTGGAACTGCAGGCTTGCGCCAAAACCCTCAAGATTTGCCTGCTCGTGCTCCCGGAAGATGCTTCAAGGGTCACGTGTTGTTTTGGCAACCCGTCGCCCCCCCCAGTAGCCCTCTTCCAAACTAAGAGTCATTACGACTTGCTGCTTCCCTCTGAGGGCACAGTGTATCCTGGGGTCATTCTTGACATTGCGAAGGAGGCGCCCGACAACAGCATCCCGCGAGCAGGCTCGTCGATTGCTTCATCGGCCCCGACGGGCTTTGATGGCCGTGCTGTGCAGCCCCCGTTGCGGGGCCCTTCTTCGGTTGCTTTCTCGGCGCCCGCTGCGCTCCGAGGCGTCGCTGCTGCTGCTAGCATTCGTGATTACTTTTAGTCGAGGTCGGATGCCCAGGCGCCCGGGGCCGCACTCGTGCCCGATGTCCCGCCCCCGCCCACCCCACTTAGGTTGCTCAAGCCCAAACGTCCCCGCAAGTGCCAGTGGAAATGCCAGTGGTGTGATTTCGTCTCCAGGGACAAGACAGGTGCGGCGGCAGTACGGTTGTGGGCAAATGGCACCCCGAGCATCTCAGTGCTGCGCCCAGCCTGCCGAAGTTCAGGGTCCCAGCTGTGATCAGGCCCTGCTGCAGGTTTCGCCTGTGCCGTCGAAGGACACCCTGCTGCTCAAGCATAGGCGAGAGATGCATCCGAGGGCCGACAAATCCTTGTTTTTGTTGCGGCCGGTGCGGGTCAATGCCCAACTTGCTTCTCGTGCTGTGTTGGCGGCCTCCACTGCCCGTCGCCTGCTCACGAGTCGCGTTGGCGGCTATGGGCCACATGCTAGGGTTGAGTACTTTCGCATTCCATGGATGGGGAACACAAAGCAACGCAGGGCCACTCGTGTGGTTTACTACTGTCGTGATTGCCGTCAGACTGCGGATACGGCCAAGCGCATGCATGACCTTCGGTGCACCCCAGGCCGCGGCTCGTCTGCTAGGGCTGGTTTCCTTAGGAGATTGCGCGAGACTGTCAACCAGGACCATCTACAGGAGCTGCTTCGTGCTGCTAAGGCTTTGATTGCCTGTCTCTCCGAGGCAGGTCGTCCGGGACAAGTGCGCGTGCGGGGCAAGCGCAAACCTCCCGATGCAGGTGATAGGTCGCCCACTTCTGGGCCGCCCCCCCCCGCCACCCCTGCAAAACACGACCCCCCCCCCCCTTTCACTCGCCTCGAAACTCAAGCCCCCGGTTTAGTTTGGGGTTTAGGGTTCGGGTTTAGGTTTAAGTCTAGGATTTAGGGTTTCGGGTTTAGGGTTTCGGGTGGGGGACGGATTTATTCTAAAGAAAAAGGGGTGCGGCGGGGGGAGGGGGGGGGGCTTGTGTACCTCTCACCCAGGTACACCCTCCCCCTTGATTCGCAGTATCTTTTCACGCCTTGTCACTGGCAGCCTTCGTTGGCTGAGGTGCCAGTGACCGGCCCTCAGCCCCCTGCGTTTTATGGTGCATCCCTTCGTAACAGGGTT